AAAAATAGCAAAAAAAGGAGATTTTGAAAGAGTTTCTGCAATGGATTTTTCCTGGTGGAATTTGGACCAAACCCTGGAAAAGTGGAAAATTTTGAGAATATATATATATTTTAAAAATGCATTAAATTCAGTTATAAATAGATTTTTCTGAAGAGAAAAAGGGCTCAAAAACAGCAAAAAAAAAAAGAGATTTTGAGGGGGGAAAAAAATGGGGAAAAATCTGGAAAAAGGCTCAGAAAAAGCTAAAAAAAAAAAGGAATTCTGGTGGGAATTGGGCCAAAATTCCATTAAATTTGTTGGCTCCAGATGTGAGGGAATTCCTGGATTTTTTTTTTTTTTTTGCCTTAAAAAGGAGCTTTTTTTTTTTTTTTTTCCCTTTATAAACAGGGATTTTTAAAATCCCTTAACTTTCATATCCTGTCCTTTATTCCCCATTTTTCATTTTTACATCCCTTCAAAATCAAATTAATATCAAAATCCATGGAAAAAAAAAAAAAAAAAATCGACTTTTGGTGACGCTTCCAGCCCCCAAAATTCCCCCCAAAAATTTCACATTCCGACCATTTCCAGCCCATTTTCCTTCAGGAAAAATGAGATTAAACCCCCCCCAAAAAAACCCCAAAATTCCATTTTTTTCCCAGATTTTCCCATTTTTTCCGGGATTTTCCTCACTCATTCTTCCCGAGATTTGAGCCCAATTTGGGTTTTTTTTTCGTGGATTTTGGGGCTGAATTTTCTTTTTTTTTTTGCAGGAAACACGCCCTGAACTGCCACAGGATGAAGCCAGCCCTGTTCAGCGTCCTCTGTGAAATCAAAGAAAAAACAGGTTTGGATTTTTCCTTTTTAATTCTCATTTTTCCCTTCAAATCCCATTTTTTTCCCCCCCTCAATTTCCCTCCCCTTTCCACTTTATCCCAATTTTCCCTCATGGATTCTCCATTTGGAATTTTTTTTTATTTTTATTTTTTTAAGCTGAAATTTGAATTTTTGGAGGGTTTTTTTTTAAGTGACAAAAAGGAAAATTTTGGGGTTGTTTTTATGGAAAAATTCCAGGATTTGAGAGTTTTGTTTTTTTGTTTTTTTTCCTTAGGGAATTCCTTCTGGAAGATGGAAAAATGCAGATTTTTTTTGCTTTTCCTGGATGGAATTAATGAACTAATTGTAAATCAGGATTGATTAAGTTGTGACACCAAAATTCCTCATTTTCCAAGGAATTTTCTGCCTGGAACAAATCCCAAATTTCCTTCCCAAAACAACAAACCCTTCATTTTTCCCCCCGTTTTTCCCCATTTTTTGCCTGTTTCTTTTTCCTGTTTTTCCCCATTTTTGCCTGGTTTTTTTTTTCCTGCTTTTCCTCATTTTTCCCCCCTTTTTTCTCCTGTTTTTCCCCCTTTTTTCCTCCTCTTTTTTCCCATTTTTCCTCATTTTTTTGCCCGTTTTTTCCCCCCGTTTTTCCTCTTTTTTCCCCCATTTTTTCCCCCATTCTCCCCCATTTTCCCTCATTTTTTCCCCATTTTTTCCCCCTTTTCCCTCATTCTTTCCCCCATTTTTCCCA